TTAAAAATAAAAGTAGCTGCCAATTTGTTTTTGTCTTTACACCGTCAAATGAGTTTTTTTAGAAAAGGTAATAACTCACTCCCATTGCCTGGCGTAAAGCAATCAGGTGGAGTGACAACCAGTGAAGTTCTTGTGGAGTCGCTGCATGAATCTCGGTATATAAACGAGTGCACCAATATTTACTGACCCAAAACCGTATTCTACGATGTTGTTCTTTTTGTATGGTTAATGCATTGGTATAAATATTTTTTGTCTCGTGTAGACAATAAAGATGGGATTATAAAATCGTAGACAAACGTGAAGAGTGAACAGTGCCAACTATGTCGTGTGCCCTAGTTGCCCTGCCTAGTAGCTATCGGCAAATTACAGTCTGAGCGTGACGAGGGCAATTATGTGCACCCTGTCCTTGCAGGCGAATCTAAAGCTGGGCTAGCTAATAATTAATAGCGCGTTGAAAACAGCGTGTATTAAACGGGCACGAAGACAGAGAAGAGACGGAAACCAGGCAGTAGTTTTCGCACTGGCGGAGCCATGAGTGGCAGAGCCCGTATTCGTAACAAAAACCGAAGGTGGTCGGAGTTCATAGGTAGAACTTGAAAAGGAGCTTTCTAGAATCCTCAAAGTGACAGCCGATGTTTTGCTAAGATTTTCACTATTTCTTGGACTCGCGGAACGCATCACGACATGGACCCATTTCATAAGACTTGCCTTCTGTCGGCAATTATGGAATCCCTGCAAAATGGCGGACTAACACCGCAACGTTACGACACACTTCATGGGTTTCGTTGGATTAGAAACCGAAACATTCTCAGGCAAAGGCGATGAGCTCGCTCAGTGACGCTGCACTTTCGAAGGTGTTTGATTAGCTCGTCAGCTCCTAGCGTTGGCCGCGCTCTCCGAGGTTCGCTATCTTATGAAGTGACTTGCACGTTTTACGTTGTCAGTTGTTCCGCCATCATGCAGGGGTTTCCATGTTTCAATATTCGGCCGGTGACTTTGGAAAAGGGTTTATTAGGTGGCACCGCGTCTTGTGCACCGGCAGCTCTCTCAATGTTCGTCCCGGCACGTTTGCAAACGGGCTTTCTTTTTTTGCTTGGAGGGCTTTCGAAACACTGTGAATTCGTCTACGAATTTCGACGGTTTCCTTAGAGACCACGAAGGGACAAGGAGAATAACCCGTGACATTATCCAAGTTTATAAACATAAGCGAATGTATGAAGTATTATGTTCTTTTCTTTTTTCTCTCTCACATAAATATGAATTTTTTTCTGTAGGAGTCCGGCAACAGAGTTTAAGAAGTGGTATATACTTCGTTGAAGTGTGCCAAAATCTCGACAAATTCGCCTTAACCAGTCGAACCCCGAGAAACGTTCGCGACGTCGATGTAGTCTGTTGCAATCTAAGAAAAGCAGTATAAACACGCGTACTCCTCTTCCAGCGCGAACTTACTACCTTCGACAACACTTAGGAGCACGCTTAGCTTCTTCTGCCGATTTTTTGTTGCAGCGCACTTTTGGCGTCGAGATGTTGCGGTACTTGCCTCTTATGGTCTCTTTCTGTGACGTCACCACGAGGATTATCAATTGCCGGAGACAGTTTTGACGGCGTGTTTAGAACGCACGGTGGAAGCGTCTAGTCATCCCGTTCCTACTCCAGCACCGTCCAAGTTGACAGTCCCAAATTGCTAATATTTTCATTAATGAAAGTAAAACGCGTTATACTCGAGACGCGATGCTGAGCGTTTTGCCAATCCTGGAAGGCCGACCACAACGACAATTTTGGTCGCGCACATCTCCGATAGACAACTTATCAGAAGGATCGGCAAAATGGCTGCCCGCCGAACATTTATACGAAGGACAAGGGGACGGTCGTCCCTGTTCGAACTCTGACTTTTCCCGTGTAGCTGGATCGTTTAGGGGAAGGCTGACTTTATACCCTCATGGCGGGAAGCTTCGGCGTTCCAATAGGGAACGGGAGCTTGGGGAGACGGGACGGGAGGACGCAGGAAGGGAATTCGAGTAGCTGCCCCTTTTTCCCCTCCGCTACCGGACGCGGCGGGGTATGGAAATGAGTTTAGTCATGCGGCCCGTTCAGGAATGGCTGCCGCCCGCCGAGGTGTCTAGACGAGCGTAGACCCACCTGATGGATTGAGGCGGTATTTATGGTCTCGATTGCCGGTTAATGTGACGGCGACGGATAATGTCTCACCTTCGAGTATAGCATAAATGCAATTCGCTCGGTATTTGTTTTGTTTTTGGCTGCGCCGTTCTTCACGTATAGATCAGATTTGATCTTTCATCGAGGGACGCCAACCAATTGTCGACTCTATAAGGAGTATTCACTAGGCGCCATACTTGTGGGTGATGTCTACAGCGCATGCTCTGAACGAGCCCAGATTAATAGGCTGTAAAGAATGGCAATCTTGATGGTGTGGAATGCACGTTGCAAAAGAACCGGGGAAGCTCGCCATCAGCACGCGCTCAGCAGTCGTGCACACAGCTATGGCCGCCAGTGGATATTTCCAATCGGCTGCTTCACACGATATCGACCGTTTCACTTCGTGTCTGAACGCACGCTCACACAGTACGATCCGACGATGCCAACCAAACAGTCCCAAAAAGTGCACCGTCATGGCGCTCGCCGTCTTTTGTTCGTTTGCCACGAGCGAATGAGCCAATCATTAACGAATAAACAAAAGCGCAGGTTCGCGGTGAATTCACTGCGAGTGATTGGTCGAGTCGCTGAAAGGAAACGCGCAAAGACGACGAGAGCCGTGAAGTGAACCGTGTGCGCATGCGCAGTGCCGACAGCAGCGCCACCGCAGGTGCGTGACGTCAGTCGCTCGGGTTGGTCTATAAATGGGTGTAGAAATTCGGTGAGTCTTACGAACGCGCTTTGATTGGATGTAAAAGTAGGAAATTCAAATATGGCCGCACGCTCCAGCTCACGGGTGACGATTCTTTCGATAACTGGTTTACCGAAATATTCCGGAAATATAGAAGCGAGGTAGATAAAAAAAAAATAAGTCCGTACGCACGCCATGAAAAAAAAATTAGCCTTACTCCACCCCTTACACTCGAGTATGACTATTTGGTGACCTTCCATTGGCTACGAGAAGTAGTGTTGCATGTGATCGTTTGGTAGAAGGCGCTACTTGAAGTTACGTACGTGAATACCGGTTCCGCTTAAGGCGCTTGTTAAGCTCTAACGTTGAGCGTAACAAACACGGCGTAGCGCACGGCGTGCATATTCTTCTCGTTCGCAGATAACGAATTCCTGCTCGCCGGCCAATGAGAGGCGCACGTCCCACGCTACGCTGCGTTCGCTGCACTCAACGTCGGAGAAGAACAGATTTTACGAAAGACCGACAGTCTCGTGGATTGTCCCGTGGCTATAGTTTAGCCGAAACTAGACGCAGGAATCAAAACATCAGGTGAAACTCGGAATTACTCCGGAGTACCACATCTTTTTCTACGCAGGTTAAGTTACTGCATTTAGCAATGGGTTTTTCTTTGGTCGCGTGCATGGATAATGCTTAAATAAGCCTCTCCCCGGTTAAAAAAAGAAAAGAAAAGTAAAAGTTTAAAGGGTTCTTTTCTTTTCTTTTTTTGGTATTAGCAAATGAACCGAACGCCGCTAGGCTTCGGTTAATTCAGGTTGACTCGACGAGTGCACCCTAGGGTACGCCGCCGGCTATGGGAACCAGTAAAGCCAATCGGGGCCATGCTACGAATCCCGGAGGGAGGAGAGAGGGGGGATGGTTCTTTCTTTTTTTTTTTAAGTTTATTTTCGCTTTTTTATGCTCTCCGGGCTCCTTATTTTTAAAATATATTTTATGCAAATAGGCCTCCGTTGGGGACGGGTGCCTATAACGTCCGCACCGCGGGGTTTGTTTAGGGTTTCTTTTTTTCTTTTTTTAGGGCAAAATTGTCAAAAGGGGCGTGCTCTCAAAACTTGTTGAAATTGGGGAATATGCAATGTTTCGGATTGGGTGATCTGAGCGCTCCCTGCTGCAGACACTCGCGGCACTTGGCTCCCATGATGTGGTTACAACATCACAGGACCCAACTCCTTTTGGGTTGGAATCTTCCCGAAATATGTCGCAATAGGCTGGAAACGGACCAGCGAGTAGCGAACGATTTGCATCCCTAAAGCCAAAGTCACGCCACTCTTACATTGTACAAAACTGCTCGCACATTGCACAAAAACAAAACAAAAAACGTTACAGACATGGCGACAGAATTCTGTGCAGACACTCCTCAAGCGCGTTCGAAACACTTTTGCTTCATACATGCGTATGATTTTAACATGTCTGCAGAGAGCTTGAATGACAGATTTGTTACATGACCGGCCATACAAGGAAGAAACACGCCTCAGATATGCCTACACACTGTTTGTTTAGAGCTCAGCTCTTAGGCGCCCGTTTTTGGCTTGAGCGGCGTCGGCGGAACCGCGCGGCGCATTATGGAACACGTGACGTCACTGATGACGTGTCACTGATTACGTCATCGGCATCTGCATCGTCACTGATGACGTCATCAGTGACGTCACTGATGACGTCATCGGCATTGGCATCGTCATCGTCACTGATGAAGTCATCAGAGACGTTAATGATGACGTCATCGTCACGTGACCCCTGTGACGTCACATGATCCCTGCGAAGTCACGTGACCCTCGTGAGGCGACGGCGACACCGCTCGAAGGGAGGTGTAGCAGACAGGATGAGGAGGTGAGGAGGAGGGAGGAGGGGTATACCCCCCCTCAGTGCCCTTCCATCCTCCTCCTCAAGAGCTGCGCTCTAATTCGGCGTTACAGGGAGTTGTAAACGGCTGTCATTTCTTCTTTCCTATGATGTATTTATAGTGTAACTGCGCCTTCGTTGGTAGATGCCTTGGTTGCGCGAGGTTCAATACTTATGTTTCGGTACGATTTGAGAACGTTAGCGTTTATACGAGGTCGATGTACCTAAAGGTAATTGTGCATTTCTCGTCATTTTTCAGTTGGATAACATCAACGCCTGCCTTACGTACCTCGGCGCTCTCGGTGTCTGCGTCGAAGGTGTGACAGCCAAAGGTACGCGCTCTTTGGACGTCAGCAACATTTCTTTACAATTCACAATACTTCGTTGCGACAATCCGTAAAAAAGAGAACAAAGTACTTCGCAGCGCGCCAGTAAAGCACGCATCTTCGAAAGCTGACACTCTGGTGGAAGGTCGTACTATTCATGTTGATAAGACACCGAAGTGTCTGAACTGAAGCTTACCGGACTAAAAAAGCTTTAAGCATTAACGCACTGACTTCTGTCTAGGACAGCGCCACAACCGACAGCAGAAGCAGATAGACGCTAATCTGCGTCCACGGTTTCTTTCTTTGTCCTTAAACGGGTGCTCCGTCCGCGCGCTTCTTCATCTCGCAGACATCCGCGAGGGCAACCTGAAGACCATCCTGGGCCTATTCTTCACCCTGTCCCGGTACAAGCAAGCCCAAAAGGCGGCGGCAGCCGCTTCGTCCAGGTCGCCCCAGGTGACTACGCCGCCCGGGCCGACCCCGTACGGCTGTCCCGGTCCCGGGATGCCCTGCCACAGGATGCCAGACCTCATGGCGACCTCGGTGCCCAACAGCCATTCAAAGTGAGTTCGACTACTCCGATACTTTCGCGTTTGCTTTAGTCATCTCTTTATCTGCAATATACCACCGGCCATAGGGGGCCTAAGCAAAGCAGGACAATTACAAGGAAGGAATGCAATTTCACTGATGTGCCGCTGACATACAAGAAAAAGTAGGGTGCCTCCATCTGCCGGCCGCTTCCGCTGACAGGGTGGAGATACCGCTCTCGCCGGAGTCATACTGTCGCTATTTTCGCGCTTGGCGGCAATGAACGCTGTTGGTCCGCTGAGCATTTTTTGCGCAGAAAACTGAGCGGTTTTGCGCAGAAAATCAGTTTTTCACTCCGAGTGCATCACACACGGCTGCTGCAGCTCCCGCCGATGCGGAGAATAGCCACAATATGGCGCCGCCGCGGCGCGACCCTGGTCAAAGGTTGTCTCCACCCTTTTAGCGGAAGCGGCCGGCCGATGGAGGCACCCTGAGGAAAAGGCGTATGGTGCGCCACCTAGCACCACCCAAGAGAGCGCATTCAAGTCTTGGCCAAAATCCTTATATACAACGTGCCCCCCCCCCCCCCCCTCACTAAAGAAACAAGAAAAAAACAAAAAAACCTTAGTATGTTTTTTTTTCCATCGCAAAAATAAAACCACGTATCGCCTAACACTTAGCCTCTTCACGAATGTAGCGCTAGCGCTTCAGATAAGATGCCAGAGTTTTAGAGCTATCCGTTATTACCCTAATCAATAGTTCTAAGTGATCTCCTGAAACGTTCAAAGTGAAAACGGGGACTCGTTTTCCCGTAGTTATAGCGACATTCAACACCATTCACTCGTGGGCTTCATCTGTCGCCCATTTCACATTGAAAATTTCCGAAAATAACGTTAGATAAGATAACGGTTCGAATTTTTAGACTTCGTCATCTGGTCCGGACCGCTAACGGTATACATTTGGGAGGATACTGGGCGTTCAACGATCTGGAGTTTATTTTACTGCCATTAAAAAATTCTGCAAATTGTTTTCGGCGACAACCTGTACATACTGTAGGCAGAAGAACATCACGCAGCCATCGAGACAAAAGGAATACAAGGCATGAAACAAAGTACCCTAAAACATTAACAAAGAAACCGCATAAAGGCTTTTTTTTTTCAGTACACACTTTTAATTGATAGTCCTACGATTCAGCAACCTCCCTGATCGAAGCAGGGACACAGGGACCATTATCGCCAGTTTGATGAAGCAGACGACGTTGATGATACATTCTATCCTTTTATGTTTGACTTAGTATGCCTAGATTTGAGAGTCGCTCCAACTGTTCGATCAGGGTTACGTGGGCTATGGCCCTTATAAGCCGTGTTTGGAAAATAAGATGCGACGCGAGTGCGTCAAGCGTCTCCAACCTTTGCCGAAGACCTCTTTAGCCACTGTGCTCCTCGCCATGCTTCAGCGCACGGATACGCAATTGCAACCAACTCGCGAAGGGGGTGTCGGCTATCGAAGTACAATCTCTCTGCGTGATTTCCGTTGCTTCCTCTCTTAAAACAGCTCCCTAGTTTTGCTAAAAAAAATCTCACTAACTGGCATCATCTATAGGCCTGTTGCACTCGGCCCTGGGGCGCGAGAGCGTGACGCGACCATGTAATCGTGGCAATGGCGTCTGCAACGACGCGACCATAAAGGCAGCGTTGTAGCGTTCGATCATGCTTGAGCCATGTTCGAATGCTAAGCGCCGATGAACTGAGGGAAAGGAGGAAACAAGAGGGGACGTCAGAACGCCGAGCTCTGATTGGAAGAAGTAGGGGGTAGACATAAAGCTATGCGGAGCGCAAGTTTGTCTGCTCCTTGCCCAGGGGTCCCGATGATGTCAGAACGTCGAGCTCTTATTGGCTGATTGAAAAAAAGAAATAGTGCGTAGACCTCAAGACCTCAAGCACTGTCGCTCAGTCTCAACCCCTTCCCTGCTCCCTGCACATAACCCTTCCCTTCCCTGCACATAACGGTTGACCGCTCGGCGGCTGACGAGGGGAGGGCCTTCGGTCGCGAGACCACATTTTACGGTTGTACCTGCTATGGGCTCTTCCCAATACTGGAAATGACGTCCGTTGTTGACGTTGTACTTGCAGTTTCTCGAAGTTGGTGTAGTAAGGCGTATGGTGTCCGTTGTCGATGTCACCAAATCTTTGAAAAAATCGCCCGCCGCTCGCGGAAACCGAACATGGGTTCGCTGTTTGCGGAGCGAAGGCTGTACCACTTAACTACGCCACAACTGTTCGTTTTTTGTTTTTTTTTCATGGTAAAACATTTTAGCACGAGCGATTGTTCAATTCGCAACTCAAATTGCATTTTCATTTTATGTACACCTTTTAAACGTATACAGTCTAACTGGTAATTCTAAAACATTGCCTACTCGCTATGTTGCACCTTGAAAATGCCATCGGTTCCAGTGTTTCCAAGTCCTCCAATCGACGGCTCTTTCCGTTGAAGAAATGTCTAGCAAACTCCTCTATTTGAACTCTGGTTGAAAGTCAGCGTGGGACCTTCGGGTTTGTTCAATATTTCAGAAGTGCATCGTGTCAGAACTTTATACCAGGCAAAAGCCATTCTACTTCAAGTCCCTACTTCGCCGGTTTGTTTAGACATTGCCGGACAAAATGCGACATGTCCCTCGCTTTATGACTTGCATCCAAGGTTGCGATTCGTCATCGTCCCTTTCCGTACCTGCTAATGACTGCTCATGTACGCTTAGTATCTTGACCGTCAGTGTCGATTTTCAGTTCAGTGCCGACTGCGGTCTGCTGTGCTGCTTCCTAGTGGTCTTTTTGAGAAAATTTCCCGTTTAACCTTTCCCCCTCCAACCAACTTTTGCTGTTTTAGAACCTGGAGCGTTTTTTCCGCAGTTGTCTCTTTCGCTACTTCGGTTTTCGTGGTAAGTGTGGCACGCAACGATTATTTCTCCTTGGTTTCCGGCATGGCGTTTCTTGTCATGTTTTCTGCCTCGGTGGCGTCCATGATATGTTCATATAGCTCTCCAACCGCAAAAAATTCCCCTGCGACTCTGGCGTAAATCCTTCGCACATTCGTCACCACTTTGTTCTCATCTAAAACACTTCGGACATTTCGGAACTCGACACTTTCGTCTTATGTGTACTGCTCGTTTACAGAGTAAGCGCAGCGGTGCACGACCTGGGATTACGATAAGCGCAGTACCGTCAAATGTCCTTATCTGGCAGGGTACGTTTTCGATGTTTACGCCTGTCTTCAGTTTCAATCAGATCCATCCGATTATCGACTCCACACCTTCGAAACCTTCAACTCGCTATGTTTCTCTTGCAAGCTCAGTGACGTTCCCATATGACTCCAGGACCTCCGTACGACGGCTTCGTGTACATGGAAGGGTACCCAGTGCTGCCTGAGCGAGACGCACTGCAGCACTATTTTCCCTCTGCAGATTTGCAGATGCAAGCCAAGAAACTTCGAGCTCCTTGGCTTCTATCAACCGCTGTTTTGCCGCTGCAGACCCAAGGGTCAGCAACTACACGTGATTCATCTGGTAGGGTTCAAAGGCGGGGATCAACTTCAAGACATCGCGCATTCCAAGCACCTCCCAGAACCTCTCTATCCGGTAGGGTAAACCTCGGAGGTCACAGTGGAAAAGCACTGAGCTTACTGGAGCAGATTCTGTGAACAGCGGTGGCAGGATATCTTTGTATGCACCATTTGAGGTGAAAGACAATGAAGCCCGACTTCGGAAGGCCGTAGAATGCGCTGCTAAGAAGTTCATCTTTTTTCTTTTTTTTTTTCTCGGCGTCTCTTTTTCTCGGCGTCTCTAGCTCACCTCTGCTACGCCACAGCGTGAACAACCAGCTTTATGTTTAGGGTTTTTGTCGTACTATACCCAATACCCCACTGCACGTACTCTTATATATAAAAAAATTACGATAAATAAATGCCGTTGTAGCACTGTCAATGCCAAGAGCTTGGGCCGGGAAACGAAATTTCACTCGCTCCGGAACAAAAAAAAAAAAAAAGGAACAAAAGGATTCGGAAAAAAAAGGTCAGATGTCTATTTTATATCGAACACTTTTTTTGTTCACTCATCTCACGGTGCGTGAACGTGACGCCGATGCCCAGTGACTTTGCCGTGACGTGTCGAAAATACCGCGGTAGCCTGTTGCTATACTTTGGATTAAACAAAGGACTGCTCAATTTCTTTGTTTACACTCGAAGCTGCGAATCACCTGCTTCGAGGCTATTCTCCAGGCTTCCTTTGCAAGAGCGAGCCACAGACGACGTTTCTATTGGCCGACTGGCTTTCTCCCGTGGCCCGTGGTCGACCCTTTTGTTTTGTATTGCCTCGAGTGAATTGAAAGGGACAATCGGAACACATCTCGAGACAACTTTTTGCGGGCTTTCTCTTAATTTTTTTTTATACTTTATTTGATATTGACGGTTTTTTGCTTTGTCAAGTCACAGATCGTCTGGCTGCGTGATCCCCTCCCCATTTTTGTAATGAACCGATCTGTCCATTTGTATGAGAAAGAGAGAGAGAGAGAGATAAAGTAAAGTTTACCAGTAAAAATGAAAGCCGTTTACAATTCCCTGTAACGCCGGTTAGAGCGCAGCCCTTGAGGAGGAAGATGGAAGCGTACTGAGGAATAGGTGACTCCTTGAGGTCACGTGACCTCAAGGGGGTCACGGGACTCTTTGAGGCCCCGTGACCTCAAGGGGGTCACGTGACTTCAGGGGGTCACGTGACTTCAGAGGGTCACGTGACTTCAGGGGGTCACGTGACCTCAGGGGGTCACGTGACCTCAGGGGGACACGTGACTTCAGGGAGTCACGTGACTTCAGGGGTCACGTGACCTGAAGGGGTCACATGACCTTAGGGGAGTCACGTGACCACAAGGGGGTCACGCGACTTCAGGGGGTTACGTGACCTCGGGGGGTCACATGACCTGGGGGTCACGTGACCTGGGTGGGTCACATGACCTCAGGGGTCACGTGACCTCGGGGGGGGGGTCACGTG